TTATCTCACAATCCGTTTTCAACTCTACTTTTTTATTACATGCGCATAATCCAGCCTGAAGGTCGATGACCTAAATTATCGTTAGTGAGTGAAAAAGAATGTGACAAAACATCCGGAGTAACAAGGCACCTAAAATGGAAATTTATGTTCTGAAATGGTGTTAGTATGTCGAAAGCAATTGCAAAAAATGCTAATCGCTGCTAATGCATTGCGCTACAAGAAGCTGTGACATTGATGGTTTTTAAAGCAATGGTCGATCGCCACCGTTATTTGGGAATCGAGAGCGTCTGAAATTAAAGAATGGTACGCCACTGGTAATCATCAAGGTCCGAGGAGTCCATATTTTATGACGACGATGATGGTAGCGTAATAATTGGTTCATTTTGGGTTTTCAAAAATTTTACTATCATTGTTTACCCAAATTGGTCCATCAATTCACCTTTGAGATTCTTGTCAATTGAAATCTGCCCCTGACTTGAATTTCCAGTTTTCGAGCTGATCTTTAAGTTTCAAAATTAGTTTACAAAGCAATTTTTTTCACTCACAGTCACTGAGCAAATTTTAGAAGCAAATGTCAATTTAAATTTTAGTTTTTTTGCCACCATATTTTGTCTTCTCTGTTTGTTTTTAGTGATCAAGATAATGCCTTTGAAGGTGAATTGTGAGAAATGGTTTTTTAATGAGATTTATTTCAAAACCACGGCTTATTTTTTTGAATGATTTTTTGCAAATGAAGTCCAATTATGAAAACTAGAAAATATAATTGCTTCGTGTTGCCAAAAGGTTCGAATAGAAGGTTGTTATTTTTGATTACATGTTGACTAAAAAAATAAAGGCCTAGAAAATGATTTCCGAGTTCAGTTTGTTTTTAGTAAAAATTGCGCAGAAAAAAAATAATTGAACACACATTTTCTATACAATTGAAATTTGTTTATTAATTGGTTTTTCGTGGAAACATATTTTTATGTCAATTAACGTTGTAAGAAGCTTGTGGGATTGAAGGCCAGAACAAAAGACTTGTTTTTTATCGCGTAAAATTCTTAATCTCCATGGATTTTTTATTATCCCTAAATTGGAAACGGAATTTTCGGCGAAGCTGTTTTCATGTGCGATCACGTTTGTAAAAATCAATCGTGATGTATATGAAGCTTGTGTGGCTTAATATTCAAAGCAATTGGCTCCTAACAATTAAGTTAGGGGTTCAAATCCAAGGGTGTGCTTAATTTTTCATAATCTTTTTTCAAGCAGCTGTTATTTTTTTCGTTCTCATGAACACCAAGCGCTACACCGCCTCTGCATCGGCTATTTGTTCATTTATGTTTCGAGGAGTGTGTTCAACTTCAGGTGAAAAATGCTCAAATTACGTTTTTGTGTCCTAGGCCATGTTACTTTTTTTTAAGTGAAGATAGGCAGTCAGATCCTCTTAGGTAACTGGTGTCGGTAATTTTTTTAACCTAGAAATCCGCTAAAATTTGATTTGAAGTTTTTGATTTTAAGAAAATTACTTCGAAAATGTTCAATTTAATAGCTTCAGATTTTCATGCTAAAGTTTATGCCAGCCTGCCTGGCTTTTTTAATGCGAAACTAACTTTTTGCAAACCATTAACTTTTATTATGAAAATAGCTATTTAAAAGCGTGTATTCTCAGCTTTAAAAAGACGAGGCTTTGCTATACACTTCACATACTTAACAAAACTGCTTGTATCAGATAAAATCATGAATGTTTCAATTGCTCTTTTATATGTCTGAAGAAGTTTGAAGACAATTGCTCGGTACATAAAATTTTATTCCAATTAACAAATCGCCTAACAAAATCACTGAAACATCTCAAACTCAGACTATTATTCTGTGCACTTAGCCTGAGGTAATGTTCTATAATAGTGCAGTTAATTGAGTTCTAAGAAGGTTCGCTAATATTTTTAAATGTGTTATACTTTTTTATTTTAGGACGGTTTTTGTTTAAAATTTTTGTTTTTCTCTCACTAGAAAGTAATGAATGGAGCTTTGGTTTAATTTTTATCGTTTCCATAATGAACTCGTTTGAAATCATGTTTTTTGGTCGAATGCAGTTTTTTTCAAGAGTCGATGACCGTAGTGAAGACTCTTATGTAGGTCGCGATGATTGTTGGTTTTTTGTTAAGGCTAAAATTTGATTTTTCGCAGTTGACTTTTGATTTCCGTTACGCCTGTGGTTTGATAGCTTGATTACTTTAGCGAGCGTAGTAGTTAAGTATGGCTCTGCTGCTTTTCAACCTAACTCGCAAATAAAATGCTCATTTGATGGCACTTTTGCTATTATCACGATCTGTAGGATGTAAATTTTATATAATCTGTCCCTTGTTTTGTTTGTGGCTAGTATTTACCGATCTTAAAGCGGCTTTGGCCCAGATGGAAGGAAGGACGCGAGACTCCTAATCTACTGGTTGGAGGTTCAACGCCGCTCTTAGCACTAGTTTTATTTATACTAGGTGGCAATTATGCTTCATAGCTTTGGAAATTTATTAGCATCTATAGATGCTTCATTGGTGGCTTTTTTTGATAATCTTCTAAGGGCCCGTGCGAGAACTTGAGATTACAAATCTCGAGGTCGTAGATTCGAATCCGATTCCAGCAAAAATTTTACTAATTAGAGGATTGTTTTTTACTTTTTTATTTCACCTATTGAATTTTTTGTCATTTTCTCGCTAGTGTTTGGGGAAGCGCAGCTTCGCTTTAAGTTTGAAATGAATTCAATCTGCGTAGCTTCTTAAGCACATTTGGTCCAGAGTTAACGAATACGTCTAGGACCTGTTATTTTATTGGAAAATATCCTTTTTCAAAAAAATATCGGCCTATCTATTTTTCTGCTCGTGTTTGGTCGGCCTAGTTTTCACGTCAACGTTTTTTGTTGTTCTGTAAACAGTTTTTTTTGCAATTGAAAGAGTTTTGGTTTCAATTCTGTAATTTGTAAAAAAAAATAGCCTTTGACGTTGCATAATTTTTCCTTTTTTAGATTGAAAGCTTTGTCCTGAATTGTTTCGGCTAATTTTTTAATCGACTTTGTGACTGAATTTAGCGCCTTTTGAAAGGTTATCAGGTTTTTTATCTTTTTTTATGCTTCCGGCTGGAAGGGAAAGTGCCTTAAAGTTTAGAATTTCAGAATTTTATACCTCAGTTGTTCATGGCAACATTTATTTGTTTTTTGGATCAATGGGCGTTTACCCAAGTGTTGTAGGCGTAGATGCAGCTTGATAAAGGTTTCTGAATACTTATTAAACACCAGCCGTTGTGTTGCTGGACATATTTCCCTCAAATTGAACATTTTCGTGACAAGTTTTTCGACAATTTCTCACTTTTTTCAAGTTAGTTCATTTTTTTAAAGGAAGGCAAACTCCACCACCGAACAGCAAAATGGTAAAGGTCACAAAGGTTGCCCATTGATATAGCTTTATCAAATTGATTTAATTTCTTTTCTAAATTAGAAAAGAAATTAAATCAGTTTTTTATAATAATTCTCAAAGACCTTTAAGCCCATATTTTTTAAATTGAATTTCGAAAGTTGAACTTGTTTTTCTTTCGTTTATTGACTCTTTTTCTAACTGTCTGCTGGCTATAGTTATTAAAATCTGATTTTGTATATTTCACAAATGATTACTTCGCCTGGCTCGAGTGTGTCAAATGTGCTTTTATGTCCTTAATGTGTTAAAGAAGGCTGGATTGTGAATCGTCATTAAATACTTTTGAAACTCCACCACTGGCATATTTTTTTTTGTCCAATGTAATGTGAAGTTCTGCTTCACCTGTGTAGATTTTTCCTCTTTAACGCCACGTTTGTATTAATTAGGTTGCTTCAGTTCATTTTTTGTTCCATTTGAATTTGCCACGTATGATATTCGCGATAAAGGAAGACAGGTAATCGCGTTCTTTTACTATACCAATTAGAACACCTTCTAATCGAAAAGTACATTGATCGAATATAACAAAATCGCAATTTGCAAAGATTTACTGAGAAAAAATTAAAGTCAAAATATTAATTTTTAAATGTTGAACTCGGAACTTCAATATCTTTCAGATGGAATAATAAAAAGTTGCCAATAATGTTTCTAGGAAAGTCAAAATTTGTCTGGATAAAAGAAACGCTGAGCACAGACAGTCCGGCATTTTTTCGCAAAAGTGGGAACAATAATAAGCGCATTGGCGCTAATTTACCGCGAAAAAAGATTCGAAAAATGAGAACCAGAACAAAGTAGTGTTGAAGTTCGAGTATCGAGAAAAATTCGTGGAAACGTGATCTGTAATACTAATTGCTGTTAGTTTCCTGGAGATATTTGATGCCATGTTAAGCAACTAAAGAAATTAAGATAATATTTCCAGCCAAGGTTACATGCAGTGAAATTTTAACATTTAGTGAAAAGTTGACCCCTCAACTCAAGATATGGCATTTAGATTTTTGTTTCAATTCTTCGTGTTGCTTCATTTTTTAGGATATTCAGAAAATTGTTTTTGTGCTATAATTTAGTGTATTAACCAATTGTGCAAAACTTAAATCTGCAGATTTTTTAATAGTGGTGAGCAGGGCCCGATTTCGGGGATTCCAACCCCTCCCGACCCAAAGGGTCCCCCCTTTGCACTTTTTTTGAGAAATCCATATTTGGTGATGGACCCAAAAATTTTGCAAAGGCGCCTTGGGCGCCCATACATACTAATTTTGAGGGGGGGGGGGGGGGGGGGAGCGCGCGTCGAAAAAGCGCAATGTTTGGTCTAAATTTTCCAGAAGTGCCTAAAAATGCCTTTTTTGGCCTGTTTTTTTTTCAAAATTTTGTCTGCAGCGCAGAAAATTTGGCCAAAACCGGGTTTTTTTAGTTCTTTTGGAGAGCTCGGAAAATCAATTTTTTCGACCTAAAAATTTTTTTTGAAAATACGCCTCCCCTCGAGAAAATCCTAGATCCGCCCTTGGTGGTGAGTGTAAGATCGTAATGCACTTAAGTTTCAAAAGCTAACTGTTTTTTTTCCTGTTTCAGAAGCAAACTCAGGAAAAAACTGCCTCCCTGCACTCCTACTTCTCGGTTGTGTCGTCTCGTCGGCACGACACGGCAACATTCGGCGACCACCTCTCGGCCGCCGATGAACGACGTCGCAATCCGAGTTGGGACTCGGTTAGCCACCGAGAACTCTCGACCTCTAGCGGACCAGTTCAACCCGCGTTTCACGAGCAGTCCCCTAGTATCATATCTGAAATACTGACGACATCTGATTGGTGCGAAAATATGGACGAAAACGCCAACCCTAACATTATCACCTCTCATGTTATTTGTAGCAATACGATCATTCCTGCTGTTGCCATAAGTAATGATCTCGATAGAAATCGTAACAACAGTCCAAGCATGAAAATAAGTCAATTGATAAGCGAAGTTGGCAAAATATCAAGTGACGCAGAAGATGCATGTTGTGTTGAAGAGTTGAATTACGACAGTAATGGAAACCTGATTAAAACAGAACATGAGCCGTCGATTCAGTGCAGTGTATACGATGGCTGTCGGGAGGAAGCATCCTGGAACCAAAAAATGGCCAATGTTGCTTCAAACATTGCGGACCAAGAAAATAAGAGTGCAATTGCAATGACTACTAGTAGTAATAGTGTTAGAAATGGGGGGTTGCAGTTCAAACAGAGTTACAGTTCAAAGGCCGTTACAAATGCTTCTTCGAACTCGACTCGCCACTCGAATAGAAACAAATTGGACAACCACTCAACTTCTTATAAAGTTAGTTACTGTTGTTTCTGGCGGCCGACGTACTGTTCTCACAATTTTTTCTGTGCACGTTTATTACTTAAGAAGGCATCAGTTTACTGGGCCTAAATTTTGGGACTGAGTTTGCTTAAAGTGGTTAAAGGTCAATGAACGAAATGAAGACATTTATTCAGGCCGTGTTGTTTTTTTTGCTGTTCGGTTTGCGATTGTTTTTTTTTTAAATTCAATGCATTTTCATTTGCCAAAGAATGTAAAAAAAAGCTGTGAAAAAAATACCCATCGAACCAATTTTGTTTAATTGGGTTAGTTTTATGGAAAAAGTCCATTTAAAGAGCTTTAATAATTTTTTCTTCAAATGATGGCAACGTGCCAGTGAACTCATAATTTTTGATATCAATTTTAGTTCATTTACTTTGGTTGTTAAACGGAAGGCAAAATCTTCTAGCGAACATTAAAAGTGTAAAGATTTCGAGAAACGTATGTATCGAAAAGTGGATTTTAACTTCCAGATTTCCAAGCTGAATCAAAAATTAATCTATTAATCCAGTTTTCTGAAGGGTTAATTTTGTCCAAAAAAGTCAATCATAAGTTGTTCTTACCCTTCGTGAGCTTAAAGGGCATATTTTTTCCTCGAAACTCGAAAAATTTTTGAACACATTTGTTCACACTCATTTAATTTTCGTGGTTTGAATTTTGATTTCTTTCTAAATTCAGTTCGTTCCCTTGTTAAAGGAAGGCAAGCTTCACTATCGAACAGCAAATGTGAAAAAGTCTCGAAAATATTGACCTTTTAATGTGACCTTTTTCATTTCGAAAATAGGTTTCAATTATCACAATTTACCCATTGATCCAGTTTTCACAATTTGGGTTAATTTTAATCAAAAATTGTCTATCATTACACTTTGAGCTTTAGCGAGCGACGTATAATCGTACGACTATTCTTTTTTTCCGACCCAAGTAGCAAATATTGGTGCTATTTTTGGTGCCACCTTTACGGCTTGTTGATAGCATGTGCTTTGACATTTGATTAGTAATTAGTTAACACAATTGATGCATTTTTGATTCATCAAATGAACCGAGAAAAAAAAGTGTTTCAAAGAACATAAAAATAATAAAAAATTGAGTTCAAAATTTTTCACTCATTTTATCTGGCAATTTTGAAATGCAAATTTTGTACATAATGTGGCTTTACGCTTTCTCATTTTTATACATTGTTGGTGTGGATGCCTTCAGTTTTGATACATTCCAAATTTTTATATGCAAAATTGTGTCTATTTTTAGATTTGGTTCCTTTTTTGCTGCATCTCCTTGGCAATTTATTAGCATATATAGCAGCTTTATTTTGACTAGTGTTTATGTTCGTGGTCGAGAGAGCAGTGCGTGAGACTCCAAATCTGCGGGTCGCAGGTTCGAATCCGATACGTAGCAAAGTTTTGTAATTCGAGGCTTTTTTTCACTTAATAAAGCGCAGCTTCGCATCTGTATAAAGTGCTTGAAAAATTACCAGTCGTTTTTTCCCTTTCCGTGAAAGTTTTCCGAATGTTTTTAGGTATTTTTTTAATGAATTTTCCCATTAGATTTTTTTCGGAAAGAAACTGATTTTTCCTTTTTTTTACAAATTTATGCTTTACCTTTGTTTTGAGTTTGTCAATTGCGTTTTGATAGTGGTTATTCCTGAAAAACTGAAGGAGTTTTAAAAAAGAAAAGTGCTGCAATTTTTCAAATGGTCATTGCTTCAAATGTTACAGCATACCTTTTTATATGGCTTGAGCTGCTTTTTGGTCGTTTTTCGCTATTGATTGCGAAGCGCATCTTCGCTTCTATATGAATTCTTGAAATTCAAACTTTTAGAAAATCAAAGAGCTCTAAGGCCATCTTATCTTTTTTTCGAAATTCGACAGTCGTTTTTTTGTTTTCTTTGCGTACATTGATTCTTTTTTAAATGTCAGTGGTTTTTTAAAAGACCGACATTTAAAAGACCGACATCGGTGGTTTTTTAAAAGACGTTTTAAAAGGTATTTCAAACCCCATGCTTCAAGCACCTTTTTTGTATTTTATTTTAGATTTGATAGGAAAAAAAAAACATTTTTACCCGACAAAAAATCAATGGAGAGTGTAGAGAGGGGAGGGGGGGAGGGATGCTGCCCGGAGGAATAGTTGCCCCTTGCAAGAAGAGTTTTCTCAGGAATTTTTTTTGAATTTTCGGTTCTAGCTGCCTGTGGGCGATGCAGCTATTTTTAGGCGATATAATTTGTTCTAATAACTGATAAGGGTAAACAATTCAGTAAGGAGGTCATTGGCACTTTTCCATTTGTCAGTCTGCTACGTTTTATTGCCTTTGAGTGGGAAGATAAAATAATTGAAAATTATTTTTCACAGACTGGAACTAGGTTTCTTAGTTTAGTTACCAACTGCTTCATTAACGCATGAAACTAATACTTTGGTCTCGACACTTGAAAAAAATTAATTTCAGTCTTAATCTCAAATGTATTTTGTAGGAAATTTAGGTTTCTCATTTTTTGTAAGTTTCCGCTCCCTTGTAGTCCTCATGACGCGGTAGCGGAGTTATTGAAAATTGAGTAGGGCTGAAAAAAAAGAAAAAGGCATAAAGAAACCCTCCCGAAGTGTTTCCTGAATTGTTGATTATCAAACAAATACCAAGATGATTCAAATCCAATCATTCTCAAGGAGCGTGACGGAATTATGTCGTAGGGCAGTTGTATCACTATTTGTAGTTTTATATTGAAGAAGGTTCTTGGCCGTTATTCGCAATTTTCATCATTTTTAAAATTTCTTTTCAAATACTAATGTGGTCGCAGCATTCTTTGCTACTTAAACAGTAACTGGCTACCCTTGTTCGATGTATTTTTTGCTTTGCTTTTTGTTGCTAGTACCACCAAAACTCTTCAGACAAATTTCTATTTTATGAAATGAACGAACCATTGACTTTATGTTAAACTACTTCTGATTTTTTTCTGGCAAGCAACGCCAATTTTGTCCTCTGCTTGGATAAATCATGCTGCGTATTTGAACTCTTTCGTATTTTTTGTTATTACAATCACAAGCCTTCATTGATGTCTGTTCTGAATACGTTTTCTCTGTAGATGCATTGAAATAAGAGCGTGCGTGCCATACCATCTTAAAGCTGAAGCTACGTTGGCTGGTTCCCGTTCGTTCACTTCACTTTTACTTATTAAACCATGCTTGCTGTGTTTCCACGCCTGAAAGATACCAGATACGCGGTATTGATAAACAGAGATTACAAAATAATCGGCTGAATAGTCTGATTTCTGTTCGAATTCTGAAATTTTCCTAATGTAACAGCGCATTTTACATGACATTTTATGGTTTCCAAAGCGGAATTCAAGCCATTTTTGGAGCGCTTGAGATAAAAGGGGTCCATTGTTGAGGTGGCTTCAATGTGAATGGGCGAAAGTGGTCCAAATTGAGTTCTTTCTCTGGGATTAGGAACTGAGGAAGAAAACAAGAGTAGTTGTAGCCCTGAAGCGTTTTAACACTCCTTTGTTCGAATCAGGGCGCTTACATGCTAAAATAGAGGCATGGCCTTTTAAAAGAGTATTTAACCGTGACGCAATCTCATTCTTTTTATTTTCGCATTTGATTAAGTGAAAAAGGCAGGCTAAGCATTGAACTCTTAAGTTGCATAACAAACAGATTTACCATCCAGCTGAACGTACGCTCGAGTTATAACCAAAATTACCTTTACGAAAGCAATGAATATATGACCCGCAAATTTGTTTTCGGCGAGTTAGGAACTTGTAATGTAGCGAGTTAGGAACATTAGGCCAATTCTATTTGGCCTACTGTCTGAAGTAAACGTCAATGATTAAAAGTAAAATCATTTTTGAATGGTGGGACCAATTGAGCAATAACCCCTCGTTTTGAACAATTGAGCTATCTCCCCCAAGCAAATACGTTAAAGCACTATAAAAGAAGTTTTCAAACGCGAGCCGGTGGTTGAGGTGTATATAGCTCGCAATCAATCGGCTACCTGAAGATTTTTCTATATGAATGTCGATAGAAAAATTTTGATTTTTCGGATTTTTTGTTTGGGCGATTATTGTTTGAGGTAAGCAAGTTACCAGGGTCAGTTCTCTGATCTCTATTTATGTCAAAAAACCTGCAGCATCTTAATAATGTATGGAATTGCACATTTTTCTTCAAACAAAACAGGAAAAAGCTGTTTTAATATGCAAATAATTTGGCCGTTTTTTTTTTCAGTTTGAATCTAGTTGTTGATTTTTTTATTGTGATTTTTGTTTCTCTGCGTTTGTTGGAGAATCTGACGTACAGTTTTATACAATTGAAAGTAGTTCATCGCCCAAGCCGAAATGGTGGGGGGAGATATTTCCTAATTGATCCGAATAGTGCAATTTCATGAGAGTCGATGAACGTAGTTCAGACTCTTATATAGGTCGTGATCATTTTTTTTTTCAGGAAAAGTCTAAAAATTTGTTCAGGCTCCAATTTACTATCAATAAATTTTACCTATTGATCAAGTTTTCTCAGAGTTATTTTTATGAAAAAATTGTCAATCATAAATTGTTTTAGAGTTTTAAGACCATCTGTTTTTTTTTCGAAATTCGAAAGTTGAGATGTTTTCCATAAATATGTCAATCTTTTGTTTTACCAAAATTCCGTCCATTGACTCTTTTTTAACTGTCTTTGGCTATATTATTAAGACTGCGAACTTAGGTACACTTTTGCTTAGACTTGATTTTATGCTTTTTGAATTTTAGTTTTGACTTATTTGTATGTCACAATGAATGTTCTCGCTTTAACTTAGTTTCAGCTGGGAGTATATGGGCACAATGAATATGCCTGAGACTCAGTGGAAAGAAAACATTAAAATTAAAACTATCTTTTTGGTGTTGTTTTTTTTTGGCTTAATTTTGTTTATTAAGTGTCAATGAAAATGTTGAAATTGTTCGCGCCCAAATTTTTTTCTGCGATTTGTTTTTGGATTACTTGGTGTTCAATTCAAATTCATT